GTGAGTTCCTGAAATTAAGAATAAACATTCATATTTTGTAGATAATTATTTGTAATTTTTATTTTTCAAGCAAAAGTAGCACGATGATTGTTCAGCTATATAATAACGTGTATCAAAATTGATCAATTATTCTATCATCAATAGATTCTTTTTACGTAGTATCCCATACAACGAAGTATAGCCTTCATCATTTAAAATCAACTATACTCACTTTATTAAGACTATCAAGAAGAAAACCAACAGTAACATTTGAATTTGTTGATGCGAACACAAGTCAACATGTGTTACAAGCATATCAGCTTGAATTCATTTTTTGTAAGTCTACCTGATGATAAAGTTCAAATACTTCTTTGTCGTAATTCAATATTTGAGTATTAGTAACGTACGACTAAATATGTCGGTTTTATTATCGAAAGGATTTCTACAGTATCAACTCAAATCGATATGCTTGTGATATACTCTGGTGCAGTACCGGATTTTTGCTTTATAAACAACTGTTTGAAAAATATAACGATTATTTTTTAATAGTTTCATTAAATTTTAATGAACCCAAATACTTTCACTTGATAAAAATTGATGAGTTTATGTTGTACAAGTAAATCTAAAATATAATGTGACAAGAAATGATTTCATAAGGTAGTTTTACAGAGTCTGTTAGATCTAAATAAAAGAGTAACAAAGTTTATGACGTGACTATTTTCATTCTAATTTTGTCTTTCTATGTTTTAGAACCTTGATTTTTAACATGAATAGACACTTTAGGACTTGAAGAAATCTTTTGTCACATCAGGTAAATAGTTTATTCTAAAATTAATTATAACCAACAAAAAACCATTTTCTTTTTCCTAAGATTCAAACCGTACTTCATCAATGTCACCTAAAACACCATCATCATTTTGGTCAATAATCAAACTTAAATAGTCTTGCAGAAAGAATAATCGTAATGAAAAGATTCGATTCTTTTGCCTTTGTCTTTCGATTAGGATTTGCATAGTTAAGAAAGAAAACAACAAACTCGATGATGAACTTTTATAACTTTTAAAAAACAACAACATCTTGCTATTTTGATCGTTGATCTTGAAGAACTTGAGGATGGGAATGTCATTATATTGCAACTGTGTTTTCATATGCACGATATATATTATTACATATGCAGAATTAAGAATCGATACTTTTCAACACGATCGTATTCGCACATAATCGAAATTGTTTCTATTCTATCATTTTGAAGCTATATAAAAAAGAATAACATAAAATTTGAGAACAAATCAATGTACTTCATTTATGGTTGAGTTCAATTTATCATTTGATTTCAACAAAATGATGCGAAATTCGCAAAATTTAGATAAAAGTAGTTAAAAATGCATCATGATTGGTTAAAAATGACTAATACAAAAATAGCGCTGTCAGTGTGATAGATAAACTGTTTTGTTAACTTTTTGTTTTCGTCATAATAATCGATATTTTATGCTAATCTTATCAGTGATTTTGAATAATTGCCATTTCTATGCAAAAATACGAAAATTCATTTGTATGAACATTAATTAAGGCTAATAAAAACAAAAAAAAAAAGAATGCTCATGTCTATTCGTTCGTTTATTCGTCATCGTAATGTTTGTTCTGTTTTTTTTCTTTTCGTTGATTGTTGTGTTACTTAGGTATATTTTTTCTTCCTCTAAAAAACCCAATAAAATCATATTGAAAAAGCATCACATAGTCATCGGAAAAAACCTACTTTGGAGAATACATTTATTTTGATAGAATGCTTTTATGGTTTTAGATATTCATTTTCTCTTGAAAAGCACGATCTTGACTAAACATGACAGACATGAAAATGTCATCAAGAAAAAAGTAAGTGTAAAATTTCAAAAAGGTTTATGCTAAAATAAGGATTATTTTCTGTGTCAATTGAAAACAAAAAATTCGATGTTGCTATTGTTGCTTCTACCTTCTATATATACTTCCTCAAATTTTATTTCTTTTACTCATATTATTTAGTGTCATTGATAATTATGAATCATATTGAATTTACTTTTAAAAAAAACTTTAAAAAAACATATTCGTTTGAAATATAGATACGAAGATTAGGTAAGACATTCATTTCATATTCGTAGTGTATCTTCGGTTTATTTTGTAATCTAGAATGATAATATTTGTAAAGCACACTACAGCGACTGGCTAATAGTGCAAATATGATGAGGCAAGCACAATGACGACACAAGCATACAGAACACGTCATTTAGTAAGATAGATAGTCACCAATAAAACGAGTGAAGGAAAACGAAAATTTATATGCGTTAGTGGTAATCCATAGCATGCGAACAGTACGTGAGAGGAGGCTTACTGCTCGTCTGTATCTATGCATACACTTGTAAATATGTAGCGACGGTGAAAAACAAAGAAAAATGATTGCGAGCGTGATTAATATACTGTAGTATGTGAATATTCAATAAGAGGAGAAACATGGAATTTATTAGTTTTATTAGTTGTTTTTAGTTTCAGTTTTTCTTATTTTCAGAAGTAGACTAGTTATTTTCAAAGAGTAATTTTATCTTATAAATATGGGACTGCGTGACTTATTTCGAAGACATAAGAAAGGAAGTGATGCACCCCCTTCAACGCTTATAAACGATACATCAAAAGCACAGCAGCAACAGAAGCTAAAGTTTCCTGGTATAAAACCTATTGATCTCAATGCTCCAGCGTAAGTATAATAAATGTTCTTAATTATATATATTTTTTTCTTGATTATTTTAATTAAAAATGAATTGAATTTGTTTATATAGACCAGAAGGTATTTCGGAAAAATATCGTCAATTTCCATTTCCAACACGTCGTAATGATATAACAAATGAATATGATTTATCAGAAGAATCATTAGGTGTTGGTATAAATGGTAAAGTTTTGACATGTTGGCATCGTGCAACCAAACGTAAATGTGCTCTTAAAGTAAATTAGTTTGAATATTTGTTCCTTTTTCTTCAATTTAAAATCATTTTGTTTTTAATCTAGATAATAAAAGATTCAGATAAAGCTCGACGTGAAGTTATTTTACATAAAAAAGCTAGCATAGGATGTGATTATATTGTTCAAGTACTGGATATTTATGTATGTCAAAGATATTTTTTGATGCGAAAATTTTTTACATTTATTTATTTTTTTGGTATAGGAAAATATGTTTGAATCAAGTCGATGTTTATATGTTGTTATGGAATGGTGTGTATAAATTCTTGTTTTCGATTTGTTGATTTAATTTATTGATTGGTGTTCTTTTGTTTTTATATGTAGTATGGACGGTGGAGAATTATTTAATCGTATTCGAAATAAACATGATAAACCATACACAGAACGAGAAGCAGCTAATATTATTTTAATGATTGCTAAAGCTGTTGCACATTTACATCATATGGATATGGTAAAGAAAGATTTTATTTTTATATTTTTATTATAAAATTTGATTATTTTTATTTAGGCTCATCGTGAGTAGTTTTTACTTCTGAAAAATAAAATCGAATGAATATTTTCAATAGGTGATCTTAAACCAGAAAATTTACTATTTACAGATACTTCTGAAAATGCTTTACTTAAATTAACAGATTTTGGATTTGCTAAAGAAGGTAAAATAAAAAGAAAAGCATTACGATGAATCTGATTTGTCTTTTTTCTCTTTATACTATAGGAAATAATGAAAAACTACCGTTGATGACACCATGGTAAGATAACAAAAATATTGTTTTGATTTTAACAGAGATAAACAAGAACTTTGTGACCTCAACGATGTGAGAAAGTATAAACAGAGTTTTCAATTTAAACATTTTGTCTAATGAAACTTAATCTTTTAAAGATCATTATCATGCATTCTAATTGGCCTAACTATTTACAATAATCTGAAAGGATTTTGTTCAAAAATTTAAAGTTTTCTTCTCCTTTCTTTTAGTTATACTCCATATTATGTTGCACCAGAAATCTTGGGCAATAATAAATATGACAAAGTAAACAAAAAAAAGAACATGATTTCTTTATTACTAATGTAATCTAATTTTGAATATCAAGGCATGTGATATTTGGTCCATGGGTGTTATAATGTATATTCTTTTATGTGGTTATCCACCGTTTTTTTCTGCTCATGGCGGTACGATTAGTGCTGGAATGAAATCAAAAATTAAAGCCGGTGAATATAAATTTCCAAAAGCTGAATGGAAAAATGTTTCACAAGAAGCTAAATCAGTTATACAAGAAATGTTAACAGTTGATCCAGCTGAACGTGTTACTATTGATTGGATTCTTCGATGTCCCTGGTTAGTTGGTACAGTGCCCGAGACACCAATTGATATTCGTTCGATGCTTGATTTTGAAAATTATGAACAAATGAGAGTATGTACAAAAATTATAAAAAAATGAATTTTCATATTTGATTTTCTTTTTTTCATCTATTTTAGGTTGAAAGTGAGTTCGATTTAATTGATTTTGATCCTTTTCTTTATTGTTATTATTCATCTATAGTTGCCGCTGCAAATCATGCTCAACGTCGAGCTGATGCTGATGATGAAGAAAATATAAATATTCTTGCACCAGATAACTCACGTATAGCAAAACGAGCTGCTAAGCGACAACGACAATCTGCTAGTGAAAATGTTGTACCACCATTATCACAAATTGACGAACGGGAATAAATATTTTGTTTTCAATATATAATCATTATATTTTTCTTGTGCTCACCTATGCTCTTATTCAATAATCTTTTTCATCATGAAATTTGTGATGAAATTTTTTCATGACTCAGTTTTCTTTTTGTTTGTTCATCGTGTTCATTATATCAAATAATGCGTGCGCTTTAGAGTAAATTGTTTGAGATATGAACTGGTTTTTGTTTCTTTTTTTTATACAGATTTCTATATTTTAGCGAAAATAAGTTTAAATACGTCTGAATTTGCATATATCTGTGCACGTGTGTGAGAAAATCAAAATAAAATACAATGCATATTTACACTCACTTCTAGATGCTTATTTATATAAAACAACTAAATAGCTCAAGAGCAACTGAAATTCAATTAGAAGTATGCATTAAAATCTTTCTTTTGTATTTAGTTTTTTTTTAATACAAAAAACAAACAATGTCTAGGTTTCTCCAGCTGATACAATTCAAGAAATAAAATCTCGTCTTTCAAAGCAATTAAAGATCCCAATAAATCAACAAAAATTAGTTCTCAAAGGTAAACCATTGCATGATGGATGCTTAAGTGATTATCAAATAACTGATAGTGCAAAATTGCATTTAATTATTTCAACACAATATTCGTCAAATAAGCCGACAAATAGTGCATTTATAAATGAACTACGTTTATTCGCTTCAAAATGGATTCAAAATCCGAATGAACGTGATGCCTTTGTAAACGCTTTTCAAACAGTAAATTAAAGACAATGAAAAAAAACTTTCGTCAAAGTTAAACGTTTTTCTCTTTTTGCTTATAGGAAATGCAAACTGCAGTTGATCGATTAAGTTTGGATGATATTGAAAAATTATGTAGTGATCGATTAAATTAAACAGTCTGATACATTATATATTAATCATCGATCTTGAGTAATCATGCCAACTTTCGTTGTTAGCATAAAAAGATTCTGAAAACATTGTTGTCCATTTTTTTATATCTAATTAAAAAAAGTCATAACAATTATAACATCTATAGCGCGAAAGTCTTGGTACATAATATTCATTTATTTTTCGGTCACTAAAAGATAATTAATTAGAGTTAGTTAGAATCAGAATTTTTCACTATTCCATTTAAAAACTCTTTCGTATTTTGAATTAAATAAATTTCAATCGAAATACAAAATTGACCAAAATAGTATTCTGCACAAGCATTGTTTTGACACAATCTGTTGATAGTCGTTCCACTTAACTCCAGAAGAATATTCTGACTAAATGCTTGGAAAGAGCAAAAAAGTCTGCTTCAAGCTCTAACCAACTGTGTTCAAGTGGCTGAAAAATATGCAAGGATTTTCATTCCATAGACTAACTTTCAAATCTTACGATTATTTCTCATTTGGAAAATGCTAATACACATTGTTTGTGAACTGAAGAATGTAAATTTGATTTTAAAATGAATATATACAAGAAAAATATTTCGTATTCAGAATATGTAATCATCTGTTCTCGTTTGAATTCAAAAGCACAAAGCAATGAAGATAATTGATTGATGATTCAACTTCATTTCGTTGACTTATTAAAGACCAATTTAGGAAATTTCTCGATTGTTCGACATAATACGTTTTTTTTTATTTCGTTGACAAACAATTTTTCCCATTTTGTCATACACGCTCGACAGTACTCTATTAAACAAAGTACTTTGTTTTGTCGTTATTATTAAAGGGATAGAAAAAACTTGAGAGTCATGTAATGTTTGAATCTTAAAATACTATTTTTTCGAAATAGGAAAAAGAGAGATACATATGTTTCCATCCTTTATTTTTATTAAACATATCAGTTGAATCAAAGTATTTGATATTTCAAGTTTGAATCCAATCGATTAACAGGTGTACATTTGTTTTTTTTTTTTCTACGTTTAAAAACAACAGCTTTATTACAATCAATTGATATTAAACAAAGAGTTCAGAAAACTAGTTGCAAAAAAATAAAAGTATTATAGAAAAAACAAAAAAGTTTATTTTGAGATTGTTGGAACGATTATTGAGCTTATATTTTGATTTAATATTATTTAGACAATATAAGTTTCTTTCCATGTCCATTTTTGTGCTGTATTATTGTTTTGACAAGTTTCCAAAAATAAACTTTTACCATCAGTTACTACACATTTATCAACTTTTGTCGAACGAATTTGTAATGTTTGATTATCATAAGTCCATTCACCTGTAGGAATCCATCTACCTCCTTGTACACAATGTCTATTTAAAAAAAATATGATGATTAATATCAGAAACAAAAAAAAAACTAACGATTTTTCTTACCGTGGAACAATAGAATTACTATTAGCTATATAGCAGTGTTCATCTACTGACCATTCTCCTTCTGTATTTAAACGAAATAATTGATTTCCACCTTGACCATGACAACCCGATACACCAACAGCTCGACCATATTGATTACCAAATGTATCAGCACACATATCTTTATACTGCTCATTGCGCATTTCTCCCCAAACGAGATTTGCTGGTGGTAAAGGATATTTTTCAGCCATTTCAAATGCAACATTATCCAAAAACCATTTAAAACTTGAACAATTTAAACGTTGTCGTAATGCTTTATATTCACTTGTATCACCTATTTCAAGATGAGCATGATTTGGTCGACGACGTATATAATATGTTTTATATTCATCCATCCAAATCTAATCAAAATAGGGAAAAAAAAGAGTTTTAATCACAGAGAGAATTAAATTTAACAGATTTGTGTGAATGTGAAAGCAGATAATCTGTGAAAAGATTTCTTGACTTCAGAAAACTTCCAATGTCCATTGAAAGCTTATACTGGTTTGATTGCGGATGGAAAGTAACGGAGTAATGGAAAAATCGTCGATTTGATACAAAGTTTAGTTAGAGATTTGTGGAGTTCAAGAATCCGAATCTGTAATTAGTCTCTCAGAATTGTGTACTTGATTTATCGGTCATGTTTCCTCAAATAAATTTTTCTTAACCAGAAAATAGAACCGGTACCGGTACGGATTTCAGACCGATTCCATTCCTGCAAACTTTATTAGTGATCGTGATTTTCTTTCAACAACTATTCCTTGATGAAAGAATCAAATTCACGAATTTTTCTTTTACCCCGTATATTATGAATTTAGCCAAAGCTATGATATGACCAGAAAAACTAATGATTGTTTTTTTCTTTTGTTGCACTTTATCACCATTATAAAAAGCAGCATAGATTAAATCGATCACATGAAGAGTAGTTCCTCTTAGATAGGTTTCTTTTCGCTGAAATATCACTTCGGTAGGCTTGAAATCAAAGTCTACACGTTCTATTCAACATTATTTCTTTTGTTATCACTCCAGTTATTAGTAACGGATGTACTTCGTAAAACAAAATTTTAATCGCAACTTCATACTTCAGCAACACGCATATGATTGATATGACTTTGATGATAATTTGCACCTCGAGGATGCATACTTCGTTTACGTGGTCCTCGATAAATATGTCCAACATGACTACAAGGTACCCTTTAAAAAAACAAAGCAATAGTACAATCAATTTATTGGTAGAAAAATTTACCATTCAAGTTGTCCACCACACATCCAAACTTTGAAACTCAATTCATACTGCTCACCTAATTCATAGCAAGAATATGCAATTTATATAACTATAAAATACAATATATACCTCCCCTAAAAAAAGAAATATTTTTTCTTTATTTGAACCTCTTTCTTTTGTTTTAAACAAACTCACCAAATTTTAATATCAGGATCATAAGCACCTATTTCAAAAAACCATTTTTTATCAATAGCAAGAAGACCACCAGCATGCTAAAATGAACTTAATAAATTAATTGTAAAAATTTTCTTTTCAAAACTTACAGTAGGACTTTTATAAGGTTCAGTTTTATATTTCATTTTATTACGTTCACGTTCTGGAATTTCTGTTTCTTTATATAAAAAGCCCCATTCCCATATACCTCTAAAAGATCCACCACCAAAGTAAGCTGGATTATGTCTTAGAGTATCCCATTCAATTCCATCAACAATTGGCACTGCTAATGTTTTACGATTTAAAGCGATTCGAGTCAGTAATGGTGGCAACCAATTCGTCACCTGAAAAAAAAAGGGTACTATCAGCTATTCAACACAAAAGAAACAAGAAGCTTACACATTCACAATGAGCATCTAATACCACAATAACATCACCTCCAGCAGCACGAGCACCAACAACACGAGCTTCAATAAGACCAACTCTAAAAACCATGCAGAAGTCTTGTTTTTTAAATTTTATTTAAAAAAACATAATTTACCGTTGCTTAGTTCGAACATATTTAACAAGACCATTCCATTTTTTAATATATTCAGGCAAACGAACAGTAATATGTTCTTCATCACTAAAATCATCCACCAAAATAATATCTTTTAATAATTCTTTCGGACTTGTATTTATCACAGAATGAAATGTTCGTACTAATGTTGACCAACCTTCATCATAAAAAACAAGAATAACTGAAGCTGTTGGTAATTTATCAACACTTGGATAATTCCAATATTTACATTCTTCTGGTCTAAGAAAATTATATGAATTAATTTTAAATTAATTATTATGTTTTTCTTTTACCTAGTATCACGTGCATGTCTATCTAAAGAAATTTTTTCACTTGCTACTTCATTAAAACCATAGTCACCAACTGATTTTTCTCCTTGTTTTTTTTCTTCTTCGCCTTGCAGTTGAACACCTTCGCCATTTTCACCAGGGCCAGATAGTTTTACTATGGTTTTTGGTTCATAATTACCTAAGACACCTTTTGTCATAACAGGTTCTAAGTTTGATACACTATTGTCTACATTTTGAATAGGAACCTGATGGGGAACATTATTTTGCTGTTGATTTGCGTCAATGTCTTTTACGTCGAAATGAGGTAACGGCGATGTTGTTGTTGTTTTATCAGTATCAGAATCGAATGAATGAAGAAAATAAAGAAGAAATATTACATAAACACTTATAAAACACATTAAAAAACGCCATAGAGGACCTCTAATCATCTGCAATGTAATGAAGAAAAAAATTGGCTTTTGAAATAAATGTAATTATCTACAATATAAAATTTTTTAATATTTTCACTAGTATGCATTTTCTGTTAGAATATTTTCTTTCATAGTGTAACACTAAATTTATTTTTAATGACAATTTGAGTTTCAATTATAGTGACTGTCAATCAGTACAAAATAAAAAGAGAACCGTTACTAAATTCAATTCATTAGAAAATAAGTAATAAAAAATATCAGAAGAAAATAGATATAATTTTGACTTACGAGAAAACGTTTTGCAACTAACGGATAGTTTTTGAATCGGACTCTGTACATATGGTAGACTCCAATGTAAAAAGAATTCCAAAGAATAAATCCCTCTAGACCTTTTGTTCAGACTTATAGGTATTTTACAAGAATTTTAGCTTCCGGTGCGGTACATACTAACATGTTGAACAATACTATTTTAGTCTGAGGTTTCGCTCACAGACAGATCTACTTGTCAATAGGATGTTTCTTTCTCGAGATATTAAGGCCTCAAAAAAAAACAGAAAATTCTATAATCTTTCATGGAATATGAGTGATTTTTTGAAAATTTCATGTCTTGTGAAAGAAACATTCTTTTGACAAGTAGATCTGTCTGTGGAAAAAATCTCAAGTTGAAATAGCATCATTTGACTCGTTAGAAAATACTATGCCAGCGACTAAAATTCTAGTAATATGCTTATAACTTTAGAGCAGAAGGTCTAAGGGAATTTATTCTTTGAAGTCTATCTTATGCACAGAATGACAATTCAAAGGCGATTGATCAGTTTGAAAATATTCTCTCGTTAGTCTATCATTATCTGATAGAACTATTGAAATATAAAACTATTTTCATAAAAGCTATCAGTAAAAAGTTTCATTCAAAGGATCTGTATTATTGAAACCATGCATTGCAAGAATTAAAAGTCTTATTACAAATGTAGACTAACAAGAGAGGTCTTGCAACTACGTAATAAATCACTTGTGACCCAAAACTTCGTGCATTACATAGAACGAAATGAGTTATGAATACCTTAAAAACAGTTAAGACGGTTAGTTTATCAATGCTGAGATACTTCATTTTTACAGTAGCTTTTAAATGAATAACATGGTCTCTTTGAGGAAAATCGATTTTTGAAGTTCGACTTGAAACTTTTCATGGCAACAAGGCTTAATGAATATAATTTCAGATCTATTCGTTTTTCATATTCTAAAATAAAGCTACGAAAAAAGTGTATCTTTTACATAACTCATTTCAGGATAGAAGTAAATCAAACGATTTGAAACTTTCACAATAAACTACTCTCATTAAGGCCTGTCGCTGACCAAAGTTTCCAGTCGACATTCGAAAATTAATCTGAATTCTTGTTAGAATATTCAAAACTCATATGGATCTACATGATGCACATAGTTCTATCTTCGAAGTGATTAATCAGTTTGAAGATCTCACTCGAAAGAATGAAAGGTTATTCGAGATTAGTTAGATGTCATGCAAAGACAAAGTTATTCGTGAAAGAATCGATGTGCTTCTAATCAATAAAGTTTTGTTAGATTTAGTTACAAAATGTAATATTCTATTGAAAAATATGTTCACGATTTTAGCTAAATCCAATAAATTCTAAAAGATTAAACCCCAATAACATCCCATGAAAAAGTCTGCATTGGAATTCGATCAGTTCTTTGTCAAATATTACAATTATTTTTTATCATAAGCTTCATGTTCTTCAATATTTAAAGTCAAATCAATATATCGTTGAAGATTACGAATATGAATAAAAACAAATCAATATGAAATTTCATTCTTCAACTGTCTTGGAATCGGCCCAGTCTAAGAAAGCAATGATCGAGCCATTATGCAGAAACCAGTTGAGAGAATTAAATTTACGATGAAGAAATTTTGTAACATTGATCAAATTTTTCATAGCATAATTTTTGTAGGGCAAATAAATGTTTTCTAAGTCTTATAAAAAGAAAATCGTAAGGTCATGTTTTTTATTAGTAAAGTCATTTTGCTCTTAAAATCACCAAATTCTATCAATAATCGCTTTCGATAGCTAAAAAATCAGTTTCTTTTTTTTTATTTTTCTGGATCCAATGTTGTCAATTGTTGAAATTGCTTTGGTGGTCTTGTTGGTGCTTCTAATTGTTTAATCACTTTACATGGATTTCCAACAGCAACAACATTAGCTGGAATATCTTTTACAACAACACTTCCAGCACCAATAACACTATTATCACCAATAGTTGCTCCAGCTACAATAATAGTTCCACCTCCAATCCATACATTATTACCAATTCGTATTGGTTTGCCATATTCTAATCCATCAAGTCGTTCTTGAGGATCAATCGGATGTGTTGCTGTATATATTTTCACATCCGGACCCATAAGTACATAATCACCAACATAAATTGGACATGTATCAAGTAAAACTAAATTATAATTAGCAAATGAATTTTTACCCCAATATATATTATAACCATAATCACATTGTATGGGTGATTCGATAACTGAATTCGTTCCAAATTTACCGAATAATTTTTGAATAATTTCATGACGTTTTTTCTCTTCATTTGGTCGAGTTGAATTAAATTCATAAACAAGTTCTCGACATGCCTTTCGTTCACCTAATAATTCTGGTGTAAATGCATTATACATTTCGCTAGCAAGCATTTTCTCTTTTTCTGTGCGTGTATCTGTTGCCATCTGAAAAAATAAACAATCAAAATCCTATTTATGCTTGTTTAGTTAAAAAATAAATGTCTTCTTAGTAGCCAATAAATAGCTAAAACCTTAATCCTTTACTTGTTCATGTACATAGAAGGCACCAGAGAATGTGAACTCTATCGAGTTCGGGTCCAAATGTTTACTTTTCTCGGATCTACAAAAAATGTGAATCCATAGCTTCCTATGAACATCTCTATGTATGATAAAGTGTGAGACAAGCTTTAATGATCTATGGCAATACTACTGTTTTCAGTCCATCTAGCTTAGGTCATCAACTACAGTATTCTCGAATGTTTTATTGACAGTATTGACGATCTTCTTATGCATTGTAATGATGGGTTTCCGTGTTGCTATAGTAATAATAAGAATCTGAAGAAAAAAATTGAACAGTCATAAGAATATCTAAAAACACCATCATATCGAATGAACTTCAGTCTTTAAAATATTTGAATAAATGATCCCATGATTGTATAAATCAATTTGATAACTGAAGGTTTATCGACGGTATGCATACGTGTAATCGAAACAGTCGATTGGACGATGAACATAATCCAATGAGCAATTGAGGAGTGTATGTCGCTGTCAATAAATAATAAAGTACCATATACTTTAAAGCTATAATATAAATTTCATTTATAATACATCCATTTCCATATTTATCTATTCATTTTCAATTGAAATATGTACTGTTCGAATAGAATCTTTAAGAGAAAAATACTTGTTTGAATGAAATATGCATGAATTTGTAGTATTTGAGCAGCATTTTAGACTGTTTAATATAATATATAAACGTGCATATTTAACTAACGACTGAGCATAGAAAGAATTTCGTCTCTATCAAATAATATCCTTATTGACTTTTTCGAAATTCAGAGATACTGAAGTCAAGGTATCTCTTGATCGCAGATACCATTTCACGTACAGAAATATAAGTATACTTTTTTAACAGACTGCTTGCAGTCATCAAAAGATTATACTAATGATAAACATAATTTTGAAAGAAAGAATATACATATGTTGGAATTGATTTTAAAATCTAGAAAGATAAAATTGTTATGGAATAACTGATACTAAAACGATTTTCTACTGGTTAGAAGTTTCGATTTGGATTTAGCAAAGAGTTTCTTAATAACTGTCGTACCATTAGAACATTTGGTAATGAAAGAATCATTCTACTAGAAACTAGATGCCCGTTTACGGGCGTTGAGCATCGAACAGCAGTCAGTGTGTAAATGTGGATTTAACTGAGACATTCACATCCACATGCTATTCATTATTGTAATGCCATTGTTCGACGTACGTTCCTTTGTCTCAACTTTGTCTATTCAATAAAGATTATCTTTACCATATAAATGAACATTTACTACTTGACATTTTAAAGTCAATTCCGATATAAATATATATATATTTCTAAAAATATCTTGATTAGAAATCAATTACAGTTCTAACTTATCAGTTGATGAAATAATGAATTAAGAACATTTTGTATAGCTTTGTATTGAAAAGCTATGCCTAAAAATAACGAGCTGTTGCTTCTGCTTTTAGGACATTAAGTAAAAAACAAATTCACAAGGTTTATTTTCATTCGACATCGAACATGTAGATGTTTTTATTCTTTCCTTTTGTGTCGTCATATGTTAAAAGATGCATACTTATAAGTCAACAATACCTTTATTTTCTTACGTTTCTTCGGCGTACAAGCTGTTTCTTTTCTTTCTTTCTTAGCGATCGATCGCAAGGTATCAACTATTACTCATTCATAAAGCGTTAAATATAATATTTCGACGACATTGTATATGAGTAATATGCAAATGGTAATGTAAAACCTCGTCTTTCATTAAATACAAAAAATGGTATTTACCATGGCTGTTTAACGATGCTTCGATGAAAAATGAACTATTTTCTCCATTTATTAAGTGAACTATTACAGAATGTTATTTCCATCAGTTTTAGATATATATTTTTCAGTGATTTTAATAGTTTTTTCTTTCTGTTCATTTACTTTTTGTCGTTTGTGATTTGTGGAGAAATGAGTACCAATCATGTCGAGATAATACAGGTATTAGCTGACAATTTCATATCTGTCAATTTGTTGTTAACTTTATCATAACTTTCAGAAAGGTATACAATGTGCTGAGAAAGCCGTACAATATGATCAAGCACATGACTTTGAAGCTGCTGCAAAAGAATACCTAGCTGCAGTAGAACATTTTATACATGCAGGAAAATGTAAGTAGTTGTAATAAATTTTCTACCGAATTCAAAACTAAAGTGTGTGTATATGTCCTAGACGGAATTAAGAACGAACAAACAAAGAAAATGATGCGTGCTAAAATTGAGAGTTATTTAAAACGAGCAGAAGAACTTCAGAATATTGTAAAAAATGGACCTGTGAAAAAAAAAGAGCTAGCTGATGATGACAGAGGTCGTAAAAATTCAAAAGATAATAAAGATGATGATGAAAGTGGTGATCCAGAACGAAAACGAATAATGCAAAAATTTGAAGGTACATGTTTTCATAATAATATATTCTTAATTTCATTTACTTGTAAATATTCTTTACATTAGGAGCTATTATCATCGATGCAAAAATAACATTCGATGATGTTGTTGGTTTAGAACAAGCTAAAGAAGCATTAAAAGAAGCTGTTATTTTACCAGTGAAATTTCCGCAACTTTTTCATGGTATAATATCATGAAAAAAAAATCTCATTTCTTAACTTAGTTTACTTATATTTAGGTAAACGTAAACCATGGGCTGGTATTCTACTTTATGGAGTAAACTTATTGGGAATTTGTCAAATTTTATTCTCTGTTGTCTTTCTTATTCCATTTTAGCCACCGGGTACTGGTAAATCGTATTTAGCTAAAGCTGTAGCTACTGAATGTAAGAGTACATTTATATCCGTGAGTTCATCTGATCTTTTATCAAAATGGCTTGGTGATAGTGAGAAATCTGTCAAATATTTATTTGAAGTTGCTCGAGAGAAACCACCATGTATTGTATTTATTGATGAGATTGATGCTCTATGTGGACAACGTAATGATACTGAATCTGAGTCATCACGTCGTGTTAAAACAGAATTTCTTGTTCAAATAAATGGTAAAGATAATCAAGATAAATGAATAAATATGATCTATATGATGTTTTTTGTTAGGTGTTGGAACAGATAATTCAGGTGTTCTTGTACTAGCTGCGACCAATGTTCCTTGGACATTAGATACGGCTATACGACGACGGTATTCTATCTCTTTTTATGTTAGCTTAATATGTTTATTGAAACGTTTTGGAATCATATGTTTAGATTTGAGAAACGAATTTATCTTCCATTACCAGAAATGAATGAGCGAGCTGGTATTTTTAAAAGTCATCTAGGCTCTGGAACTTATCATACAATTAAAGATCATGAATGGATGGAACTAGCACAAAAAGCTGAAAAGTAAGCGTAAAAATATGTCTTTCAGAAGTTTATTGTTGTACGTATTTGTTTAGATACTCTGGTGCTGATATAGCGGTTGTTTGTCGTGAAGCTCTACTCAGACCTATTCGTCGTCTTAGTTCAGCTACACATTTCAAAAAAGTATATGCTGATTATTTATTTGTTTTATCACTTGCTTTTTATGATTTCTGTATAGGTACAAAATCCAAAGCCGGATGGTCCTCATCAGCTTTGGCTTCCCTGTTCACCTGGAGATCCAGGTGCTGTAGAATTAACATTAGATAATATTAAATCTGACGAATTATGTGAACCACCAGTAACCATGGTAAATATTTTAAAGAACTTGCCGTTCGTTGAAGAAATATGTTTTTTTTTTTAAATTTTAGTCGGATATGTTAGCTGCTCTTTTGACACAAAAGCCAACTGTACATGAAAAAGATTTAATTAAATTTCAGAAGTTTACTGAAGAATATGGTCAAGAAGGTTCATAAATTAAATATATAAAAGTCTGTATGGCTTATGTCTTAAATGAATTATTGTGATGTATATTTTTGTCTATATTTTTCTTTTGTTTATTATTTAATAAATAAATGCTTCGATAATTATTCATGTTTGTGTATATTTAAATAATTATTTTTTTTTTATGTATGAAGATCATGAGTCAATTCAAGTGGACAAACTTATCTTGATTTTGTATTTATTTTTCTTTCTTCTTAGTTGATATAATGACTCATAATTTAGCTGAATATTGTTCTTTTATTTGATTTGTCCATTATAAAAGGAAATGCACTTGAAATATTATTACAATTGCTAAGTTAATTTTTTAATAGTGTTTATATTCGAAAATTCAATGTACGTTATATAAGACAAATAATGATCTAAAGATATATATGGTTGTTTTGAAAAAAAGTTCTTTTGAATGTTCAAGTAAAATGACTGCTTCTGCCATCTAATGAAAGTCATGAAGATAAACATTTCTTTTTAATATTATCAAATTTCGTTTATCGTCATCGTTGTAATTATAGAGTTTTTTTTTTCTTAAAATAATATTATAGGATTGTGTATTCCATTGTTGTTGACTTCATGACGGATAGTAGCGATAGACTTGAATGATTCATTCTATTCCACATAACCTCTGCTCCATCTCAGTTGCTTGACACAAGTTAACAAAAGAAAAACGTTTTTTTTGTTTTCTTTTATTATAATATCGTGATAGTCGTCATCTTATATCATATAATAATTTGAAGTTTTTCTGCATTTAAAGTTCTTCTCATCTTGTACATTTTAATTATATTGAAAACCAAAATTATTTTCAAACTTTTTATATAGTTATCTCTTTACCATCTTTGCAACGATGACCAGCAGTCCAAACGATTATATTCAAGTAACAAATTAATTAAGACTTTAAATATTTATTAGAAAATTCTCATTCAATAGAAAGGTATTCAATATGCCGAACAAGCTACAGCAGATGATAAAGTTCATAATTTTGAAGCTGCTCGTAAAAACTACATGGCAGCAGCAGAATGCTTAATGCATGCTGTAAAATGTAAGTAGATCAAGGATAGGTCTTCTTTAGAAAAATGTAGTGATATATATATATATATAGATGGAGCAATGAATGACCAACTGAAACAAAACATCCGTGCGAAAGTAACGAGTTATATAAAACGAGCGGAAGAAATAAAAGGCAGTTCGAAGAATGGACCAGGACCGAAAAAGGCAGTTGCTGATGGTGGAAACTCAAAAGATAATAAAGATGATGATGAAAATGGTGATCCAGAACGAAAACGAATGATGCAAAAATTTGAAGGTGACAAGATTCATTACTTTCTCACAAATATGCTTATTTATTTTCTATTGCAGGAGCCATTGTTACTGATCCACAAGTTTCGTTTGCTGACGTCATTGGTTTAGAACAAGCTAAAGAAGCATTAAAAGAAGCTGTCATTTTACCCGTGAAATTTCCACATCTTTTTCAAGGTATAATATCATAAGACATCTCAATCGTTAAGTTACGAAGGAACATTTTCAACTGATCAATCGTTTTCTCATCAAAAGCCACTCAATTATGAGTTATCGGCCATGCTAATTTCGAACATGATCATAAGAAATAAACTTGGATCTTTGATTAGATGTAGAAAACTAAAACGAAGATAATTCTCGAAAGAAATAATCTCAACATTCACAAATTTCCAACAAAAAGTCTTAAACAGTTTGCAGCGTATGGTATGAATGTGATAAGGATGTGGGTGTATGACATGGAGCATGGGTATTTCTATGAAACAGACTTCCACAAATGCATCGACATTCACTTGAAGTGGTCCTAGAATGAGAGGTCATCTTGTGATATTTGATTTTCGAAACACTAAATATTGGAAATCCTATTTTATTCGAAATTTTTACAATAGTTCTAGATCTTTATATACTGCTCTTTAAGAAAATCGGTTCTCGAGATTAACAAATATTTTGCGAAAATCCTTTTGAATCTATTCAGACTCTGAAGCATATCTAATTGTCCATAAGACAATTATCTTTTCTGTTTTCCTAAAACGATTTGTAAGTCTAATAGTGTCATGTTAAAGATTTTCACATTGTAATGTTATTATGTATCTGTTGTATGAATTAAAATGATCGGATTTTCTGCAAGAAAATGATTTCAAACAGAAGACCTTCTTGTTTTCTAGATAATTTGATATGCTTTATAATCTAGACAAAGCAAAAAACATTTTGAATGAAAATTTTGTTAGTCTGAAAAACTAGCATATGAAGATCTAAGAGGATTTCTCATCATCATATTCGAAATTAGTAAAGTTGATAGCCTACAATCAAATAGCTTTCAGTGAGAAAGCGATTGATCAGTTGAAAATGTTCACTCGTTAAGTTACTTTTTTTTTCTAGGTAAACGCAAACCATGGGCTGGTATTTTACTTTATGGAGTAAATTTTTTGTGAATTCATCAAATTTTATTCTCTGTTTTCTTTCTTATTTCATTCTAGCCTCCTGGTACTGGTAAATCATATTTAGCTAAAGCTATAGCTACTGAATGTAAGAATACATTCATTTCTGTGAGTTCATCTGATCTTTTATCAAAATGGCTTGGTGAAAGTGAAAAAGGTGTCAAAGGTTTATTTGAAGTTGCTCGAGAGAAACAACCATGTATTGTATTTATTGATGAGATTGATGCTTTATGTGGACAACGTAATGATACTGAATCTGAGTCATCACGTCGTGTTAAAACAGAATTTCTTGTTCAAATGCAAGGTAAGTTAATCAAGATAAATGAATAAATATGATCTATATGATGTTTTTTGTTAGGTGTTGGAACAGATAATTCAGGTGTTCTTGTTCTTGCTGCAACAAACATTCCTTGGGCATTGGATACAGCCATTCGAAGACGGTACTTTTGACAGAAAATTTTTTTCCATTAAAAACTATTGATTATTTAGTTTTGAAAAACGTATTTATATTCCATTACCTGAAGTAAATGAACGAGCGGCTATGTTCAAAACTCATTTGGGTAACAGTACTTATCACACAATCAAAGACCACGAATGGATGCAACTAGCACAAAGAGCTGAACAGTAAATATAAAAATTTATCTCTCAGAAATTGATTCTGACCGTTATTTATTAGTTACTCTGGTGCTGATATAGCTGTTGTTTGTCGTGAAGCTCTACTCAGACCAATTCGTCGACTTACTTCAGCAACACATTTCAAAAGAGTATGTGCTCATTATTTATTTGTTGTATCAACTGTTTCTATCATATTTCTCTAGATTTCAAATCGAAATCCAGATGGTCCCCGTCAACTTTGGCTTGCCTGTTCACCAGGAGATCCAGATGCTGTAGAATTATCATTAGATAATATTAAATCTGAAGAATTATGTGAACCACCAGTAACCATGGTTAGTATTTTGAAGAAGTTTCTTTGTTGAAGAAAGATTTTTTTTTCTTCAATTTTAGCCGGACATGGTAGCTGCTCTTTCGACACAAAAACCAACAGTTGCAGAATCTGATTTGTTCAAACAGAAAAAATTTACAGAAGAATTTGGTCAAGAAGGTTCTTAAGAATGATGATGAAAAAAAGTAAGAAAAACCTTCTATCAATGACTGCTTTGTTCGCACATATAAATTGGTATTTTCAGTTTCTATTTGTATGTCTGTCTATTTGCTGTTTGTTCTATTGTCACAACAATAGTTGTCTTTGTCTTTGCCTTATTTTTCATGTTATTATTTTATTCAAAATCAATAAAAAGAAACAAACTAATAACCAATGGTGATCTTATATAAACAAAAGACCTGTTTATTGATATTGTTATCTTTTGTATGACATCGTTCTATCATATGTAATTAATGCTTTTAAAAAAAAATGTTTAGTTTCGTTTGTGTTACTTGTGCAATATTTTTTATTATTTATTGAATGAGAAAAAGAAAATGATTCAGTTACAAATGTTTGCTTTTATTATTTTTACGACAATGAAGATAAAGATTTTTTAAAGACGTATTGATATATAAATATATGAGATGATAAACGAATAATTAAGTCATAGATATCCGTTATATTTAAAATTCAAATTAATTATTGAATCAGTCATCGGTCATTTCAGAAGATTTTGATTCAGATAAACGAGTACTTCGTTTACCTAAAAGAATTCCTTCAGTTGGATATCCACGTTTACCTAAAAGAATTCCTTCAGTTGGATATCCACGTTTACCTAAAAGAATTCCTTCAGTTGGATATCCACGTTTACCAAGTAAGATGCCTTCTGTTGGATATTGACGTTTACCAAGCAGAATACCTTCAGTTGGGTAATGACGTTTGCCTAACAAAATACCTTCGGTTGGGTATTCTCGTTTTCCAAGAAGAATACCTTCAGCCAGGTGTTGACGTTTTCCGAGTAAAATACCTTCTGTTGGATACTCACGTTTGCCAAGTAGAATACCTTCTGTTGGGTATTCACGTTTTTTGATAGAGGCCTTTTGACCAGATAATTTCCAGTTTGATGACTTTTTTTGGTCATTATTCTTTGATTTAATTTCTTTAGCATTCATTTTATATTCAATAACATCAGATGCTTTCGAATCTGCTGGTACACAATGGGTTAAATTGATAGTAAAGACAACTAAATAAAAATATATTTCAAAAATAAATTTCATAAATATATAAATATTACTCAATGAGATTGTGCAAACAGAGAATAAATATGTTGAAGATAACATTTCAATTTGATTTCGAGAAAGTTTACTGTTAATTGCAAATCTATAATAGACAAAATAAATAACATTAAATTTAGAATGATTACATTCATATAAAACATCTTCACAGTTTGTTTACTAACTATGGCATTCAGAAGTGATAGAACACTCAAACACAACATGCCTATTTATATGTACCTTTTCGCTTCGTGCTCATAAAAGAAATAATATCGACTAATGCGTGCTTTCATCTTCATCTAACTAATATTATTAAGTGCTATTATTTTTTTTGTGTTAAAATATTCTTCTAGATTTTTCTTTATACTTTCTATATGTATGAAAAAAATGAGTGAAGGTATTATATCACATCTCATCTGCAGCGTTATGTTTATTGTCATATTTCAATACAACTAGTAAATATCGATTAATCGATCTATGGAAAATAAGTACAAGAATAAATTGTTAATCATCTTCTTTTACCCGCGAAGAAAATTTATAGGAAATGTCAACTTACCTTGACTTGTTCCTACGGAAAATGATCTGTACCCGGATAAAAATTTCCTTAACAAATAGTTTTTGTTTGATGTAAGAGAAAGTTCACTTGTTTCTTGTTATTTCTGAATCTTTTCAAATGTTATCTATTATAAATAGAAAAAAAATCTAACTGGAATTACTTTTTTTTTTCTGTTTTCTTTTCTATTTTCTCCATACTATGATTTGTTTTGTTGATGACTCTAAAAAATTTTGTAATCAAGTGAAGTAGCGCAATGTATACGCATGAATAATAAAACAAAGAACGATATGATTATCAAAATTATCCTACGCATAAAATAAATGAAAATAAATTCTTATGAAATTGAACATAACTTAAAGAATATAAAATTTTATGAATACGAAAAGCTAATGAATATATTCTCTAAAAGTATTACACTAAAAGAAGATTGTTTCTATAATACGGATCAGGATCATATAAAACAAAAAAAAAAGAACCACTAAGTCATACCTTTACTAATTGTAAAATTCATGACTTTAGATAATGAGTATGCTCGTTTTTGTAACAATGTTTAATTATTAATTCTTGATTATTATTGCTTTTTTTTCATACAAGAGTATTATTCAATATTATAGAGTAAAACGTGCTCACCTTTCAAAAACAAACAAGAACAATACTTTCAAATAGAGAAAAGTTACATATCATTTGTGAACAATGAAAAACTAGAGTTTCGTGCAGTAAAATTAGAATATTCCCTAGTTAAAAAAAAAAGAAATGTTATCAAGTACGCAATGGACCATCATCATATCAAGTATTATATAGATTTAAAAAGCATGATATAGAATTTCTCTTCGCATACTCTCTTCACTTCATCGTGTGTTATAATCATGAAGCCATATAACTTTTCTTGATTCAAGTTTCTATCGAAAATGATTTATCGCTTTTAAGGTTTTTTTTTTAATATTTTACATTTAAATAATAATAAAGAAAAATAGAACAATGAAGCTGCCTGGTGATATATGACTTTGATGTAAATAGGTGACATATTACACTTGATAAATTATATTTATAAGCCTCTGGTTAAGGATGTTTACCATAGAAAATGAAAGATGCTGATGCCATTTATATGCTATCAAGAGTCGAGTTAACACGTATATGTCATTTACGTGTAAAGAATATTTTATTGTAAAAAAGATGATACAACACATATTCAATAGAGAAAGAATATCAGCTATTACTATTGAATTTGAACATTGTTTTTACGGTCCTGTTTATTATTCTAAAATGAACATATTTGAAGTTTTTTTCCCCTCTTCTCTTCGTCATTTTTTGACTAATACACTAAAACTGCTGTTCATTATTTGTTATCAATGTACATATCAGAAAAAGCAATGACATCACAATTTCATTCTATAATTGCTATCAAAATTATTTGATCAGTCGATAACTTTATTTTATTTTGTGTATATCTCAAATACTAGATGAGCTACAATGATCTGATTTTCGTCGAATTACAGACATAAATCTCTAGTATGCTACTAAAAACATGTCTGGAGAATTCATTGATCTGTTTAGTTTCTATTGACTTTGAAATTGCAGCATGCCGTTCTTCATTCTTGCAAAATTATTCAACCACTTATTTTTTTTTGAAACTGTTGCAAGCTTGTCCTAAATTAAAATTTTCTATATCATATATGATGCAATAAAAAAAATTATGCCCTACGTAGGAAGCACTTTTGTATTGTCGCTATTCTTTGAATAGTCATTTAAAACTCATGTTCGCTTTACCTATACCGGAAATTTTCAACAACATCGTAAAAAAATACATTTTTTTCCCATATAATCTTCAAGCAATTTATTGTTCAATGTAGCATTAGCAAGAGCACTTATAAACTGAATGAATTGATTCGATCTTTCGTTTAGTAAAATAGTATTCGCCGTCTCCTATGTATACAGAAATGACAGATAGATTTTCTTGTATGGTTTCATTCACACATTGAAGGTGGTGTAAAAAATTCTTTTATAAGCGTGAATTCGTAAAGAAGTTTCTTTCGTACGAAACTCTAATGTTTGAAGTCAAAATTGATCATATCATTTTGTATACATATACCTTTGTTAAGTCATAAATAGTAGGAGTAAAACTTATCATAATCTTAGTAACTAGCTAAGTGTAGATCTCACTAAATAAATAGCTAATTTTTTGCTTACTTTATCTATGTAGATAGAGGGTGAAATTTAGAACAACACACTGTGTTAAGTTTCATTTGACACATCTGTGTTTGTTGCTAGATCTACGGTAAGTTTTTCATTCCTCATATTTATAACTAAAGTAATATAATCAGTTTTAATTTCAAATATAATAGTTTTGTACTGAAAAAATGTTTCTACAAATTCACGATTTTAAAACAATTTCGTATATATGAGACTATACAAAAAAAGTTTATCTGTGATTGCTGTATACATAGGAAACGGCGAATACTATTTTCCAAGACGAAAAATCTATTTAATTCATGGAATTTATAATGCTCTTGCTGATGCTATATTGAACAATAAATTGATTGAATATCACCTGAAAAAAATCTCTTTTTTTGCATTGTTGTTAAAAATCTTCGGAATGCGGAAAAAAGACATTATGGAGAAAATTTCATTTAAAGCAACAAGACCATAAAAAGTACTCCTTACGTAGAGCACAATTTGTTCTTTGGTATCATCTATAATAAAGAAAATTTCAATTTAGGACAGACTCGCAACATTTTGCAAAAATGTGGTTGCATAATTTCGAAAGGATGGAAAACATCATGCAGCGATTGTGTCATCAATAAAAGCTAAACAGATCAATGGATTGACCTGAAATTTTTTACAAAATATACTAGAGACTATGAACTGTAATCTGGTGAAAACCAAGTTATTTTAACTCTTCTAGGTTTTGAAACATACAGAAAATAGAATAAAATAATCTACTAGTTGAGTAATTTTTGACAGTCATCATTACATGAAATGAAAAATTTCAAGTACTTAACGATAACAATAGTGGATGTTCCACATCACAAATCTAATATTTAAATGAGTTTCAAACAATCAACAATTTAAGTATTAAACATGAATTCAAAATTTTGAAGTAATAAAATTTGATAAATTGTGCAGTAATATTCTTCGAATTCACGTGTATCAACATAAAAATAATAAATAATAGAGATCTCTGGTAAACAAAGTATAGTTTTGTATTCATAAATATTTCAATGAAGGAAGATGAAAAATACAGAAAACAATTGTCGATTACTTTAAATCTAGTAAAGAAGCTTATATTCTGAAACTTTTCTTCATTTAAGGGATGTTTTTCTATGTATATATAATTACTGATTTAAATCATTCGAATATTGCTTTCTTAAACTCAAAACTTTTCTTCACTTTCAGTTCTGTTATTCCTAAGTCACAGACAGATTCAGATTTGATATTTTACTCGTAAATGAACTCCACGCTTAATTATATAAATATAGGAGAATGAAAAGTTGAACATAGCACCTAAGCATCGATGTCGACGAAATTTAAAAGAATCAAGAATTATACAAAAAACGAGCATCACTCGGGAATTCATGCATGAGTTTTCTATTATTCAAGATGAAGTCAAAATCGATAAACATGCTTATTCAAAGTGGAATTATCGCATCATCACGAAGAACTTGAATGTATTTAGTTCTAATCGCATTGTCTTGTTCGTCAATGAAATATGTTACTAACTGTTAACCCCGTATCCCTCACAGCGGTTCTAGAAATTAACTTTATGAATAGAGTATTAGCCTATCTAATTTGCTAATGATGTGGTGTGATCCATCGAGTGTCAATATCTTTATATAGCATTGTTTGATTGATCGAATTACCTCGCACAGAAGAAAGGAGATTGAACGACATACGAAACTTTGTTTTTTGTTCTGTAACCACATTATTGAGTGGGCAAAAGAGACATCAATTCCATGTTATTGTAAGAATAGACAACGGCAGGAGGAAACCGATAGAATTAATGTCGAAAGAATATATGTGCTCGTGACGCATCCTGTTAACTAGTTATCTACTTTGTTTGAAACTATTTTATAACCTCTGACGACAGTTTTAATTCATAATAAATACTATTCCAACTTGTCACGAGTTAAAATTTATAACATACATTAAATTTATTATGGATTACCCTTCAGCTGTCTAATAATGGCTTCATGGCGAATTGTATGCATTAGTATGTGGAGTTTCTTGAATTATCATGAAGCTTTCGAGGCATATTCAACTCATTAGAAGGAGGGGGTGTCTTCATCGATCTATATCATACATAAATTCCGAAGAATCTCCATGAAATAGAAGTAGAGTATATTTCGTTTTGAAATATTCGATTTTGTAGATCCAATATTTCAAAGTTGGAGCCATAAAAAAAATATTACTTTTATCATTTAATAGCCTATGAAGTTTGCTACAACAGATACTCTTATCGTTTTTAAATCCCATGCTTCCGTTTTTTTTTTCTGTACTCGTTCTACAAATGGTCACTTCAACAACTCACAGAGAATTAAGGATTAACATAAAAACGACGAGATATTACAACAAGCACTGTTGCTATTGTCTATATTGATTGTCTTTTCCCTTTAACTATCTACTGCTAAGTTCATTTCCTTTTCCTGTGTGTCCCATGGCTGTTTATCATAACACAATATATATAGCACATGAGTAACAGAATATATATTGCTCACACTACAGAGATTGTTATTACTTATGGAAGTAGAAATAATTGTCCACTTTTTCGAATAAGAAAGTGCTCATATTAGAGAAACTCATTCCTTGCAAAATTTCTTTTGTCATACTATAGATTGGCCAGTACACGAAGATGTTCATATAATGAAAAAATTTTACAATATTGAAATTTTTTTCATTTCTTCCTTGAGATGTCAGTATTTAACATTAACATAATAACCATCAGCGCCAATGTGTTATCGAGGTATATTTTAGTTTGCATAACAGTTATGATGGTTGGTTTCTAGAAAGTATTTACGAATGAAAAATATATCTATACTAAGAGTTCATTTTTATGCTAAAGTCGAATTGCGTGAAAGATTCAAATCAAAATCTCGTAAATTATTTAGAATAGTATGATGATATTTTTCTTATGTATTAAAATTAGTTTTTATTAGAAATTCTATATGAACTATTCATTATTAACTTATCTATCAAGCATATTCATTTATTTGAATTCATTCATGATTATATCATGATCAGTTTCTATCATCAACAAAATATGACTTCAAATGAAAATATTTAGCATAAATCATTAATTATAATAGAAATAAATTACACATGAACGTATTACTAATAGTAAATATGATGTGATTGTTATTAATCTAACTCGTTAAGAATTTAAATAAATAAAAAAATAGAGAAACTCATCGAAGAAAAGGTTTGAAAAACTAGAGTAATAAAAAATAAAAAATATATTCTTATCTTTCTAGATGATGAAAAACAAAGAAATCAAATATTAACCGGTCAATTATCAACATATAAACAAAACTAATTCTATAATGGTATCATACAAAGACTTATCTATCTGTTTTTGTTTGTTGTTTTGTATTGAACTAAAAAACAAAATGAATCACTATAAACATATATGTTGAATAATTTTATTAAATAAAATATAGATTCTATTTTATATGTAGATGTTATGAGCCAGAATAATAATTTTCTGTCTACAAACGAAAAATCATCATTATCATTTACTAATGATGTTGATGAAAATAAATTGATATTAACCAGTGAAAATAATCAAATATTATCATCGAATTTACTAGATGAATTAAATAATAACAATACTGATGATTGGAAATCAGCTGATGATAATTCTGATATTGATGTAAATGAAATTCAAGATGATTTAATAACAGTTAATAATGAACAAAACAATAATGATGGATGGGCAAATTTTAATACATTTGAAAATAATGTTAATCACAATTCAGAGGTGAATTATTCATTTCATTTTCTTATACTTAGGGCTAACCAAAAGTTCTAAGCCCTGTGTTTGAAGGACCTTGTCGGATAAGGTAACCTATTCAGGAATGAGAAACCAAGTATACCATATTGTAGAGCATTTTTAGGCGCATCGAATGGTATAGAGTAAATCCTGTTTTCATAAAATTTTGAAGGAACTAGAGTCAATTTACTGGTAGACGACTACACGCTCACATCGATACCGACA